GTGAGCAGCATGAAGGCGTTGTCGGCGCGCAGGTTCTTCTTCAGGAACTCCACACAGTGAGTCTCCAGCGCCGGCACGGCGTATTTCTTGGCCGTGTAGAGTGTTGTCATCACCGTCTCCGGCCCGATCTGCACCTCGTCTGAGTACAGGAACCTGGCGCACACAGCGCAGGAAACACACTTGGATCACCCAGAGCAGAGAACACGCCTGGCACACGCAGCGCAGAGATCACGCCTGGCACACGCAGCGCAGAGATCACGCCTGGCACACGCAGCGCAGAGATCATGCCTGGCACACATAGCGCAGAGATCATGCCTGGCACACGTAGCGCAGAGATCATGCCTGGTACACGCAGCACAGAGATCATGCCTGGTACACACAGCGCAGAGATCACGCCTGGTACATGCAGTGTAGAGATCACGCCTGGCACACGCAGCGCAGAGATCACGCCTGGTACACGCAGTGCTGCGAGGATAACACTAGAGCTCTAGACTTCAAGGCCAGGGTCAGGGGCAGGAATGTGAGCTGGAGCAGAGCCAGGGGCAGGAGCAGAGAGAAAGACAGGGGCAGGGGCAGAGATAGAGACAAGGGCAGGGGCAGGAGCAGAGACAGAGACAAGGGCAGGGGCAGGGGCAGAGACAAGGGCAGGGGCAAGGGCAGAAACAGAGACAGAGACAAGGGCAGGGGAGGGGCAGAGACACTGGCGTGGGCTGGAGCAGGGGCAGAGACACACAGGTCGTGAGACAAACAGTCACTGACACAGGGGCAGAGACACACAGGGTGCAAGACACAAAAGTCACTGCCGCTGGGGCAGAGACACACAGGGGGCGAGACACACAGTCACGGACGCAGGGGCAGAGACACACAGTCACGGACGCAGGGGCAGAGACAAGGGCAGGAGCAGGGGCAGAGACACACAGTCAGGGACGCAGGGGCAGACAGGCGGACAGCGAGAGGGCTGGTGTGACCGAGTCTCACTTTAGTAGCGCTAGGAAGGCGGCGGGTTCGACGTCCGGCAGCTCGATCTCCGTTGAAGTGGTGGCCATTCCCCCGTTGAACATGGCATCAAACACGGCGCTGCCCACGGCCAGCACAAACCTGCCACAGACACACAGGGGAATCCGGACATGTCCTGCAGAAACACGCGCCACGCCTGACAGCGGGTCGGGTCGGGTCGGGTCGGGTCCCGTTTCGGACATTCATTTCATTCTCCACTGTCTACAGTCTCCCCTGCAGCTCGGACTATTTCTGCCCTGGAGTCTGCGTGTGTGCACAGACCTCGGCATGGTCCTCACCCAGGACACAGGCAGTCTTTATAATAATAGTATATAACTGTCAACACGATCTGCACGGCACGCTTTTAAAAAGAAATGTCCGGTCCTTTAGCTAAAATACTGCGCACAATAATCACAGCAAAACATCCGTACGCAAGACGCAGAGTTTTGCCGTGATAATCATACAGTATATTTTTAAAGC